GAGAACATCATTGACATCTACAAGCAGGAGTCCTCCAGGTGCTGCTGCGGGCGGGGCGGGGCGGGGCGGGGAACAGGGAGGGACACTGCCCCCACTTCCCTGGGCCGGCCCAGCCCAGCCCAGCCCAGCCGCTGTGGAGCTCACACTGTGCCGCTGCCCCCCCCAGGCCGCTGCACACGAAAGCGGAGCCACAGCTGATGTGCGAGGAGCACGAGGAGGAGCACATCAACATCTACTGCCTGAGCTGCGAGGTGCCCACCTGCTCCCTCTGCAAGGTCTTTGGTGCCCACAAGGACTGCGAGGTCGCGCCCCTGCCTGCTGTCTACAAGCGCCAGAAGGTGCTGGCACCTGCGCCTGCCAAGGCCCCTCGTCCCCACACAGCCTGGAGCCCCGGGGCCTGGCAGGCTCTGGGCAGAGGGAGGGGGCTGGGTGCTGCATCAGGGCCCGATCCAGGCACAGGGCTGGAGTGGGTGCTTCTGCGGGGGCTGATCCTGCTAGAGGGTGGGGTGGATGGATGCTCCTGTGGGGCCCTATCCTGCTAGAGGGTGGGGGTGGGTGGTCCTGCAGGGGCCCAGTCCTGGCCAGGTGCAGTGCCTGCCTGGCAAGTGTCCTGTGGGGACTGTGTCTATAACCCCTGCTGCCATGCCTAGTGCTCACCCCCACACTATGCCCACATGGCAGAGTGAACTGAGCGATGGTATCGCTATGCTGGTGGCGGGGAATGACCGAATCCAAGCCATTGTCACGCAGATGGAAGAGATCTGCCATGCCATCGAGGTTGGTGCTCGGGGGTGCAGGATCCAGGCACTTTCAGGGTCCTGGGTGGGGCAGAGGGAAAGGGGGCTCCCGGAACAGGCAGAGAACCCAGGCGCACAGGCTCCCAGCCCTGCAGCATGGCAGGGATGCTGTGCAGCCCGGCTGTGCCCCCAGCCTGCCCCCCACTCTGCCTCCCTCTTCCCCCGCAGGACAACAGCCGGCGGCAGAAGCAGCATCTGAGTCAGCGTTTTGATGGGTTGTGCGGGGTCCTGGAGGAGCGCAAGGCTGAGCTGCTGCAGGCTGTGGGGCGGGAGCAGGACGGGAAAGTGCAGCGCGTGCGTGAGCTCATCCGCCAGTACGGTGACCATCTGGAGACCTCCTCCAAGCTGGTGGAGTCAGCCATCCAGTCCATGGAGGAGCCGCAGATGCCCAGCCAAGGGGGGAGCCGCAGATGGCCGTCTACCTGCAGGTGTGTGCGGCTGGACTATGCTGGGGCCACTGGGGTCTGTCCGCCCCGGGGTGGGGGGAGTTGCTGAGCCCCTGCCCCAGGCTGCAGCCCAGCTGCCATGACCGGAGCTGCCGTCTCCTGGGCATGAGGGGCCCCAGGTTGCTGTCTGGCTCCGGTGTGAATGGAGCAGGGGGGCCCTGGGAGCCAGTGGGGCCCCACTCACCCTCTGTCCTTCCTCCACAGCAATCCAAGGAGCTGATCAAGAAGTGAGTCTGGGGTGGTGCAGTGAGGGGGGTGGGGGGTGTCTGTGGGGCAGGGGTGGGAAATTGTCTCCCACCTAGTGCAGCTGGGCCCCACCACTCACCAAGACAGACCCCAGCTCTGGGGCAACTGCAGCACCTCTGGCCTAGCCTTGACCCCAGCCGCAGCCTAGCGCCCCCACATAGCCCCCATGCTGCTCGTGCTCTCGGCCCAGCTGCCATGGTGCAAATGGGCCAGGCAGGCTGTGGGCCTGGAATTGGGGGGCAGCAGGGGGTGTCCACGGCCGTGGGACTGGGGGAGTGGGCAAGGGTGACTCTGGCCGTGGGGCTGGCACTTGCCGGCACTCAGTGGCCAGGTGCCGGCTCCTTGCAGGATCATGGACATGTCCAAGATTTCATTGAGCAGCCGCCCAGAGCCTGGCTATGAGAGCATGGACCACTTCTCCATCAATGTGGACCATGTGGCCGAGATGCTCAGGACCATCGACTTCCAGACAGGTGATGCGGGGCAGGGGGTACATCACCTGGGACATGGGGGGTAGACCTCATCCCCACCAGGTGAGCCCATCTGAGAGGTCTGGGGGGGCAGTGTGAGTGCACCCACATGTGAGTGCACCCTACATGGCCCCAATGTGTCAGGCTTGCGGGGGGGGCGGGGGGGATCCAGGGAAGGGGGCTGAGCTGCAGGGCTGTGAGAAGGGAAAGTGCATGAGGGGCTGAGTAATCCTGGCAGAGCATCTGCCCCTCAGCTCCAGCTCTGTTTCCCACAGCGTCAGGGTCCCCCAGTCCTGCCCCCTGGCCCACTGTGCAAGGGGAGGGGCTGGGGCAGGGATCCACTGCCCACACAGGGCCTGGCTCTGGGGTGACAGTCTCTTGCTCCTGCAGACCCAGTGGGCGAGGACGAGGCTGAGGGGCCCTTGGGCCTGGATGGTGGTGAAGTGGCAAGTGAGGAGCAGCGACTGGATGGATCGGATGGACCGGAGGGGCCAGAAGGTGACGGGGGCTAGGGCAAGGGCAAGGGCAGCACCCAGTGTGCTGGGGATGGGCAAAGGCAGAACTTGGGGTGGGCCATGGGTATGCTGGGCTGGTGCTTTCACCCCAGGTCCTGCCTGATGGGCTGCGGAGGGCTCAGCCCTGGGGCTGGGGGTCCAGGCAGGCACTGGCCTTCAGGGCTGGGGGCAGGTGCTGCCCATGTGGCAAGGGGCCCTATGCTTGGAGGGGGAGCCCCAGCTGGGGCCCCTGGGGGTAGCTCTGCTCCCTGCCAGGCCTGGTCCCACCCCATGGTTCAGCCGTGATGGGGACAGTCTAGGCCAGGGTCTCTACCCCTCTGCCTCACCCTGTCTCTCCTCCACCAGATGCGGGACCCAGGCAGAAGCCAGCAAGCTCCCGGCATGGTAAGGCCCATTCCCAGCTGGTCCCTGCTGGGGGTGTGGCAGGACAAGCCCTGGGGTGGACATGACATCCTTTTGACCCACCCTGATCCTGCTGTCGTCCTGCTTCTCTGTAACAGCCCCATTTGTCTTTCCTGCCATGCCTCTATGCTCCCTGGACATTGATCCAGAGGCTGCTCGAGTCCTGGGGTGCTCTCACTGTTCCCTACCGATCCAACTGACTCCTTGGGGGTTTGGGGGCCTCGGCATGCTGGCTCCAGGTGCTCAGCTCCCCGCAGGGATCTCTTGCACCCTGGTACACCTACTGGTGCCTGGCTGGCACGGTGAGCCGGTGGTCACCGCCCATGGCCCAACTGGCACTTGTTTAAGCCGTAGAGCCCTTAATAATGGCCTCCTGCAGCCTCCATGGCTATGCTTGGGCCTTGCAGATGTCACTCCATCTCTGTTGACCTCCCTGTGTCAGCTTGGGCCTTCCCAGCCTTAGCCTACAGGTTGCTCTGGCTCTGGCTCTGGCTCTGGCCTGACTGGTGGCCTAGGCCCACTGGCACTGGTCTGGCCTCTCGCTCAGCCTCTGCTGGCCAGTTGCATTGCCCCACTCTGGGCTCAGGCCCTGTCCCCCTTGGGCTCAGGCCACTTCTGTTGCCCTACTCTCAGGGTCAGGCCCTGGCCTTCTTGGCTGCAGCTTGCCTGTGCCTCACGCTCAGGGTCAGGCCCTGGCTCTCTCAAGCTCAGCTTGCTTCTGTCTTGTGCCTGTGCCCCTGGCAGGGCTCAAAACCTGGCATGCCCTTGAGGCACCCCTGTGGTCTCCTTTCTACCCCCCCGGAGTCATTCCTGTGGACACCTTTCCACTGCCACAGGCTCCCCTGGTCCTCAGGGTGAAACTAGAACAAAACTGTGAGCGCAGTGTTAAACTCAAGCAATTGGCACCCTGGTCTGCGTGGCCGTACCACTGCCGGCCACCCCCTGCTCTGGCTTTCGGCTGGTGGCCTATGGCTCCCAGTCCCCACCAGCCTGGGCTGGCTGGAGCTCCTCTCCTGGCAGAGCTCATGGCTCCATTGCCCCCACCTCAGGGACCCAGGCTTGTATCTCTTGGCTCCTTCCCTAACTGTGCCCATCCCCTCCAGAACAGCTTCCTGCACTTTCCCTGGCCAGGCTGTAGCAGCATCCTGCTGTCTGCCCTGGCTCTGCCCTGCTGTCCTGGTGCTGGGCAGCGAGGCCCGAAGTAGGCACCTGCAGTCTCAGGCCCCTGTAGCCTGCTCACAATCCTCAGTCCTCCCCAACCTGGGGGCAGCCCTCGTGCAGCTTCTCCCTTAAAACAACAGGAGCCCCCAGCTTCATTACAGAGGCACCCTGCATGGCCACCCCATGGCAACAGGGGCCCAGTGCCAATGTGGGGGCTGCAGCAGGGTGCAACTATGGGGGGTGTGGAACAAAGGTCAGGTGTGGGGGTGCAGCGCTGGGCATTGAGTCTCCTTCTCCCCACCAGGCCAGCACTGAGCTTGTTGCGGCAGTACAGGGGGTTGTGGAGCTGCCAGCCCATGAGCGTGAACCCAGACCTGGCATCTCCAGCCGTGGACCCTACCCTGCTCACTACTGCGCCCTCCTGCTCCTCCATCCCTCCCCGCACTTTTTTTATAGTTCATGAACCTTGGAGTTGGCACGGTCGCCTGTTCATTTATTAAACACATGTGT